CTTTTTTAGTGCTAATTAATTAAAAGCTCTTAGTTAAGATCTTAAATAATTACGCCTTAAAAAATTACGTTTCGATTTATAATTTTTAATGAGCACATATTATTTTTGTAAAAGAGTAAATAGAAAGTGTATGTATTTTTATGTTCCATTTAATTTGCAGTCAAAGAATAGAATCCAAACAATTTTTGCGAGCTCCGAAACAAGTTTTCCAAAATTAATTAGACTATAAAAATTACCATAAAACGTATAATTAAAAATTAAAATGTATAGATTTGAGATGTTAAATTGCGGTGTCTTGGCCTTTTAACCCAAATAAAATCCAAACAATTCTTTTTTATTTCGATGCCTAAAGTGGCTTAATTTCGTTTAACCTTTTTTTAACTGTGTATTAAAATATATATACCCAGAAAAAAAAGTGAAATGACTTTAGGGATAATTAAAAAGCAAATTAATAATAATAATGTGTTTAGCTTATCTTTCACATCATTAACTAAATGCTTAGCAGCTGTATGAGGGAATCATGGACTAATTACCCTATTGATGATGGACAATAAAAAATTAAATAAAAAAAAGAACAATAATATACAATTTTTTAAGTATGTGTATGATATGTTTCCACGCGATTTAATCTCTTTACATCACAAGACAAACAGCATCATGGGCTTGCTTTCATGTCGGTTCGTTGTTTTTTTTTTTTTTTTTTTTTTTTCATTTTAATATATGATATGAATGCAACAAATTCTGTTAAAGAAGCCAGATAATGCGTGTATAAACAAAATATTCAAAGTAGATAAAATAAATTAATAGAGTTGCTTAACCAATCCATATATATATATACACACACACAACAATAACGGGAAATAAGGAGTAGAAATTTGGTGATGTTTGCATATCTTATCACAAAAGATTTCTAATGGATTTACGGAAAAAAAAAATTGTAATAGACAATTGAAAGCGTTAACCAAGATATAGATACTTAGTTATCACAAAAAAAAATAGTAAGTTTCATATTTATGGAAATTTTCATAGCTTATATATGTAATGTTTATATGGACACGTGGAATTTAGATCAGAACTTATGAAATTATACGTACATATCTTCGCGTCAACGTTCATATGATCGAGTTTTCGTTAACTGTAGATAGAATGTGAAAATGTTATCCGGTGATGTTTTCCAAAACACATGAATAATCTTGAAATTATATAAACCATGGACATTTTATTGGAAGTCATCTCTTCATATATATATATATATATATATATGTATAATGTATTTATGTGTGTGTGTGTATAGGTAGGAGGAAACAATAAAAGAGGGAATAGGGAGTGAGTGGGGATCAGGGCCAAGAACATGATTGAAGTACTACTGATATATGTATAAATTTAAATGTATGATTCATTTATATGATCTTATAAAGAGACCTACCCCTTTCATGCAACACACAGAGATATACATATATATATGTGTATATATATGTGTATATATATGTGTATATATATAAATGTATACGAACTTGGCATATAGCCGATGGGTAAGATGTCAACTCTATTCACTCGCATTATAACAAAGACAACAGCATCCATCTATATGAGCTAAATGTACTGCTGCCTCCTCAAATCAATGAATAAAAACTGCAAAAAAAATAAAAAAGGTTTGGATTCCAAAGCTAAAACTTCATTTCTGTATTTATCATCCATATATAAACTCATTATATATATATATATATATAAAGAGAGGGACACATACAGTTTGTGGCAGAGAGAGAGGGATGGGGGGTCCTCTGTGTAATATGTCCCATCTCTCCTTTTGTAGCGCGCATCTCTCGGGGGAGTTGTATTTTCTCCATGGCCCATTTGCTTTCTCTCTCTCTCTCTCTCTCTCTCTCTCTCTCTCACTCTCACACATGCACATCAGCCATCAACAGTGTTGTGTTGAAGTAGAAAGGTCTTGTCTATTTTATTTCATGGAGTTTTTTTTCATGTTAAGAATGAGATGTAATGGGTATAACATTTTGATTCGAAAATACATAATTGTTATTTTTAAAATTAATTAAATGTAAACTAAATTCTAACATTCTATTTCATCAACATGGTTTGTCAGATATTTAATCAAATACCTAACCGAATAAGAAATTTTCGACCAAACAACGAACCGATCCATGGAGGTATATAGACTTGAATGGTCTGAGCAAGAAATATCGACACATGAGTTTGTTCGGAGATTCTGCAACACGTGACAGGTTTTACGACATCGTTATAGTTCTATATATAGCATTTTAATTTTAATTTTGATTAGAACGTTAATGCGATTGAGAATAAAAATGATCTTCTTTAAATTAATTTTTTTTATTAAAAAAACAAGAGAGAGAGAGAGAGGAGAGAATAGTGAAGACAGGGAGAGCACGTGGGTGAAGCAGAAAAGGGTCATAACGAAACAGTACAATGTGGAGTCAGTGATTTTCTTCGTCACTGCCATTCTTGTCACTGTTTACCGTTCAAAACCTAAGTTTCCTCCTATTTTTTTTTTATGAAATATAACAAAAAAAACTATTTGTGTCATGTATTTTGATTTTTTTTAATAAAAAAATAGCTATGATTTATCCGAAAATTCATTTTTGTTCTTTAAAGATAAATTTGAGATTTAGAAAACAATAATGATTTGCAACATGAGATTTTTTAACTTGTAAATTTATTTGATTGTTGCATAATTAGCAAAGAAACTCTAATTTTCCTCCCATTTTCATTTTCCATTTTTTTTCCATTCATTAATTGTAGTTTATTATCTTTAGAATTTATCCTTTTAGTAAATACTATATATATGGTCCGTTCATAATTCGGATTGCTAAATTTGGTAAATAAAATGCAACATAACAAATCAATAAGTTCCGCAAAAAATTCTAAGAAAAAATTATTTCCGCATTTGAGTAATGATTATGTTTAGATATGATTTCATTGTGTTCTGGATCACGTTTTAATTTAACAAGTTTTAAAGATACCGTAATATTATATTATATGCGGAATAAAGATATAGATTTGTGAATGAAATAATTTTGTTCATAGTTTGTAAATTAAAGCACATAAATATTGTTTTCTTGTTTATCTTTTGTCATGATGAAAATAATTTAACCATGTGGAGTATATATACATTATATATATATATATATAGAGAGAAAAATCAATTAATTTTTATTTAAAAATAAAACAAAAATAATCATATAAATCTCAAAATACAAACTACCTTAATTTTGCATACATGCATGTCTCAAAGGAATCATCTTAGGAAAAGACTACCGAGACCAGATATCCGAACTATGTTTATTTCAAAAATATAGGTATTCAGAAAAATTGTAATTGAATTTAGATAATAAAATTTTAGTATTTATAACTTTAAAATCAGATTTAATTTTAAATGTATTTATTGACATATATATATTGTATAATATAATTTTGGGTCGTTATGAACGTTTACTAATTCATCATTGGTACAATTTTAAGATATCTTGTTTTTGGTTAATAAAAAATTTGGAAAAAAATATTATTGGAGCCGTGCAGAATTTGTTTCGCAGTCGATATTGATTCGTAGTCATCAATTTATCCTTACCAAATATTCTTTGCATAAAACTCTGATATAAAATGGGCATATAATTTATACACTGTTAGTTTTGATAATGGCAAGAAAATATTATCCTTTTCCCATCTTTCTTATTTATATATATTGGTAGATAGATATAACACAATTGCATAAAAATGAACACGGTCAAAATAATTCGAATAAGAGCAAAAATATGGATTCATGTATTGATCTTTTGTCAAACCAGGAAGTTCACCTGAGCCCAACCTACATCTTCCTGGGCCCGGGAGCAGCCTTTGAACACACAACCTTTGGCTATGCCTCTCCCTCCCCGCATGCCTGGATTCGAACCCCTGACCTAGAGGAGGAACACCCTCACTTTCAGTCCGGGTACCACTCGACCACAGACACGTGGATAATTCATGCATGTATTGATTGCATAATCATATTAGATGTTAAATCTTTGTATCTTCAGTTCCATAAGCATATTCCTCAAGGTGATGGCAGACGAATAGTCCTTTTTGATGTGTTATTTAAATTAGTTTTAAAGTCAAAATTTCCTACAAATTATTTTCATATCAATTATTCTTAATAATAAATATGAACAAAAAAAATATCCATTCAATATGCAATTATCATATGTTTTGTCCATTTTAAACTTTAATGCCCATAGCTATGCAGGCTACATGACCTGAATCAATTTAGTATTGGATAATTCATAGAGAAATTTTAAACCTGATTTAATAGTTATAACTAATACCTTTAATTTGAAAACTACTGCGATATTATTATTGGTATAATCCCTAAATATAGTATTCTCAATATTCAGAGATTCTTTGTTTACAGGAAGAATGATTAAATGATCAGAAATTCTTTGTTTACTTGGAAGAATGATTATAATCTAAAAGTTAATTTTTACATTTTAATCAATAATCAATTTTTTTATCACGATATATTTTGAATAACCTTCAATTATAAAACGATATTTTTAAACCTTACACATTTAAATTAATTATCGTCTGTCCGTCAACGGTAAAGGATTGACTAAAAGATTACTCCATTTTCAGAAAAAGATTCAAACCCTAACCAAGATAAAATGCTAAATCTATACCAATGCAATCAATTTTTAAAAATGTAGATAAATGTTGAGAATTTGTTTTTCCTCCTTTACCCTTTTTACTGGAAATCACAAGGAAACAGAAGAAAGAGCTAGTAGATGGCTTTGCCTTACCTTATCCTTCTTCTTTTTTAACCTTTTTATGTTATTCTATTAATTTAATATAATATTTAATTTTCAAATATATAATTATTTATTTTTCTTAGAAAGCAAACAATGTCTTGTCAATCCACCCAACTCTCCCTCCCTCCATTATTGTTTTTCCTCTCTCTCTCTCTCTCTCTCTCTCTCTCTCTCTCTCTCTCTCTCTCTCTTTTGATACTTTCAATTTTCTCTATTGTTTCTTCTCTTCCTCAACGTCACTTCCCTACTACATATCCTTGGCTTGTGTTTTGTTGGTGCAACTTCACTTCACTTCACACAAAAAAAAAGATAATTTCTTTTTTTTTTCCCCACACAGTTATATACCTTTAGATTCATTTCATGAGTCGTCTTAGTCATCTGGATTTGATGTTCTTGTAGAGACTTGTGAAGAAAAAAAAATTATATATAAAACAAACGAAGAAGAAGCAACAATCTCACGCTTCTCTCTCCCTGTTCTTGCCAAAGCTTTCATCCCTACACCCACCAAGGTTCCTGTTCCTTCACTTCTAGGGTTTTTTTTTTTTTGCTTTCTTTCACTTTCCTTTGTCTCCAGTTTTTTTTTCCTGGTCTTCAGCCATCTGGGTATGGAGGAATACCACCATGACAGCTCCTCCACTCCTCAGAGAGTAAGTTTCTTGTACGCTCCAAGCTCTTCGCCCAACAAAAACGATAATAACAATAACAGCGACACCAATAATAACAACAGCAACAATAATTATACATCTGGTTATAATAGTAACCATCACCACATGTTGTTCCCCAACATGGGCTCTCTCGTTCATCACCATCATCATCATCAATCGAGTGAGAATTGCTTCCGATCCGATCATGATCAGCCAAACCCAGTTGTTAAATCCGAAGCTAGCTCCTCAAGGTCACTCAGCCACTACTCTTTGTTGATGAGAGCCATTCACAATCATCAAGAATCAAACAACAACAACAACGAAGACGACAACAGCAACAGCAACAGCAACATGCCTGTCGGTGGCAGCGATGTCGAGGCCATGAAGGCCAAGATCATCGCTCATCCTCAGTACTCGAGCCTCTTGGAAGCTTACATGGACTGCCAAAAGGTATGAATACCATTGGTATATTCATTTAATTACATAAATGCAACGGCCCATTTATGTGAATAAATCATCTTAGAGTAAAGCTTTTGCTTGATTATGGGTATTATTATAGATAGGAGCTCCTCCTGAGGTTCTAGATAGGCTCACTGCAGTGCGGCAAGAGTTCGAGACTAGGCACCGATCTGCTGCGGCGGCGTCTAGAGATTATGGTGCATCAAGAGATCCCGAGTTGGACCAATTCATGGTTGTTATTATCAATCTCGATAATCATGGTGTTATTAATTAGGTTTAGGTATAAATAGATTCTTAATTGAATAAAGAAAAGTTATGGATTTAACAGGAAGCGTACTGTGACATGCTGGTTAAGTACCGTGAGGAGCTAACACGACCAATACAAGAAGCTATGGGGTTCATACGTCGTATCGAAGCTCAACTTAACATGTTGTGTCAGGGTCCCATTCGTATCTTCAACAATGCCGGTATGTTTGTAGATATGTACATGTGAATACATACATACATACATACATACATACATGAACATGCATACATATATATATATATATAACAGACATGAATCATTGAATTGAGTAATTGATAAAGGTGCCAAACTAGTACAATATATAAAGCTATGTAGTGTCAATGTAGGGCTAGTGATGAAGTGTGACAAATCGTCGATTTCTTTGGTTTATCTCAACTCGTATCCTAAGATAATTTATCATGCCTTCGTTGGATCATATGCATTCGTTTGATATTAGATTATATTAAATATGTATATATAATCATGTGGGCAGTGACATGTTGTTAGGGGGAAGCATGTTAAATATATAACGCCCGCCCTTTGTTTTGTACGTATCTTGTTTTTCTCTTTTAGGAATGCGTCCAAAGATGTGGGGTTTCCGCACACTCTT